GGGTTTAGGGTTTGTAGGGTTTGCAATACTCAGTGTTCAAACCATTGATGAACTGATTTTCTAGGGTTTAGGGTTTAGGGTTTAGGGTTTGCAGCAGTGAGTGTTTAAACAAAAGATAAAAGAACCTTTTAGGGTTTAGGGTTTAGGGTTTAGGGATTCAGGCTGAGAAGTAGAGGCCCGGCCGGCATACTAACGAATCCAGAGTTGCAGTTTAGGGTTTAGGGTTTAGGGTTTTTAGGGTTTAGGGTTTGATGTCTAGGGTTTAGGGTTTAGGGTTTAGGGTTTACCTCTCTTATCAACAAATATCCTGGCTTTGGTGGCGTACTGCTCTGCCAGCCGGCGGAGAGCCAAGGGTTTCACACCCACACCCAACCTGCACGCAAACCCTAAACCCTAAACCCTAAACCCTAAACCCTAAACCCTGACCCATCCGCAGCAAGATGCTGACCTTCTCATTAGATACCTCTAGGTCGTATGTTACGGGGAGAAGCATATATTTTGCTCCGTGTATATACAGGGTGTAGGGTTTAGGGTTTAGGGTTTGGGGTTGAGGGTTTAGGGTTTAGGGTTTGGGGTTTACCTAACCATGAGGTCTGGCCACTCCGGGTCGAAGTAAGCCTTAACCCCTCTCCCATCAAGAATAAGCTGAGCAGCAACACCTCTCTCTCTCTGCTGCAGCAGCGAGACAGCAGCAGCAGCAGCAGGGGCCCCTGTCTCCTGGGTTGTTGAGGAGAGAAACACCAGAGATTGCTGCGGGCTGCAGGGGACGTGGTGGTGGTATACAAACACCCCAGGCCGAGACAAGTGCCTGCGTGAAAACCCTAAACACTAACAAAACCCTAAACCCTAAACCCTAAACCCTAAACTCATAAAACATAAAACACCACATCTCTCCCTCCAGCTGTACAACCAGATTAAAAAAACATCTACTACAACACCCCCCAAACCCCTAGGGTTTAGGGTTTAGGGTTTAGGGTTTGAGAGGCCGAACCTGCGCAAGGACCCCTCTTTAACTATCTCCGCAACCGCCTCCGGCATCTTCAGGGTCATGGGGCCCCTCTTGGGGGCCCCCTCACTCTCTAGCCGCTGCTGTTTTACATTGCTTTGTGCATACACATCAGCATCTCCTCTATAGAAGGCCCCGTACCCATAGCTGCCCCCTACACCGAAAAAACGCCGCTGCCAGTACACCCCAGGGGCCCCCAACGATCCATGCAGCGGACGCGGGGGGCCCCCAGGGGGCCCCCAAGGCAACACACGGCTAGCAACTGTAGACGGCAAGCGATGAGAACTCATGGAAGGGGGGCCCCCAACCAAGGCTGTACTTAGAAAGCTCCCATGGGGGCCCCCAGGGGGCCCCCCATTCAGTATAAGAGGAGAGAGGGGGGCCCCCGCTGTCTCCTTCTGCTGCTGGTGAGCCCAAATAGAAGCCGCTTCAACGTAGTGATTGTCGTCTTTGCAAGGGGGCCCCGCCGGGTTTATGCTGCTCGGGGGGCCCCTTGCCGTGAGTTGGGGGGGCCCCCTCTGGGGCCTCCCAAGTGGAGGGGCCCCCAGGGGCCCCCATCTATACCCTGCTCCACTGAGAAGCAGCCGCTGCATCGTTCACGTTACGAGGGGCCCCTAGAGATACCTAGGGGCCCCAGAAGGATCAGTGGTGTGGGTACAGAGAGCAGGGGGCCCTCGGGGGGGGCCCCTGGGTAGGAGGGCCTCTGCAGTTCACCGGAGCGGAAATTCAGAAAGTAAATATAAAAAATATTAATTTAAATGTAAAAAATTAAAAATAGATGAATTTAAGTTGGATATAGGCAGCAACACCGAGGAACGCATACGCAGTCTTGGGGCTGATGAGGACCAGGTGTACATACACCTCAGGGGTCCTGTATAGAAAAGAAGTTTCTTTAAAGTGTAAATTTCATCTCATATATAAATTAATTTAATTTAAATAAGAATGCTCTGACCTAAAATATGAGGAATATCGGGGCGTGAGCGGTGCAGTGTCTGTACACCGCGTTGGGCTTCGTATACAGTAACAACAGTGAAAAAACAAATTAAATTTTTGTTGTTCGAAATAATAATAAACATTTCAGGGGATGAATTGTGGCAACGCTGCAACTAATATCTCTGTCGAGCTTTTGTTTTTTTCAGCAGCGAGAGTATACAATACACTACAACAACAGCATTTGTTTTAATTGTTGCCGCAGCATGAATACAATGTATTACGTGCTTCTCCACGAAACACCAGCTTTCTTAATTAGTTTTATTGGTAGCGGTGTGTGAGGCAATCAAAATAATGAAGATGTTGCGGCAGCAGTTAAGACAGCTGTGTTCTGATGCTGCAGCAGCACGTAATACATTGTCTTGATGCTGCAGCAGCAATTCAAACAAATGTTGTTGTTGTATTGCTGTAGGGAAGCTTAAAACGAAGAATGTCGTCAGAAGTTCCCAGGAATATACCAATACATACATGCAGATATTCGTAAGAAGGAGAACAATATAACCTGCGTCTACACAAGTATTTACATATATATATACCATATATATACATATATATCCATGAATATACCTGAACATCACGGTGCGTGTGTAGCCATGGGCAAAGTATTTGTACTGTTAGCGTGGTGTGTTGCAGCACACCTGATGCAGGTCCACGCGGGTTTCATGCTGTCTTCATCAGCCCCAAAATTTCAGCCGCTTTGTCTGCAGAGCAGCAGACCACAGCATCGCACCGATTGCACTTCATAAACAGCTGCGAAAACTGCTGCATTTTCAGCTTGCAAGTACTGCTTCTAACAACGAGAGGAGATACTAATCAAGGAAAGGAGAAGCATAAGATACAGGGCTAGGCTTTCATAGCGCCGTTACCATAGCTCCGAGGCTGTCGTGGCATTTATATTATTATAAATAGATTCTGCAAAGTGTACTGCACCACATCCTATTCAAATTCAATGAAAACAAGCAGCGAATGATTTGATTACTCATTGATCATGACGCCCAACTTCACTGATAGTTCCTTGTTACCCCCAAACACTCCCCTTACCAATATTAATATTATTATTAATAATATCAATAATAATATTATTAATATTATTACAAATAGATCGACAATAAATTCACCACCATGAAATATACAGAGTTAGACGGTCAAACTGGACTCACCCACCGCAGGGCTGTGCAGAATTTCCGAATTGTACCAAAAAAAAAATTCATAGAGCTGGCTTGGTTTCTGCGTCTGTACTGAATTTATAATACCGCAGGACACTTGTCGGTATGATCTTCTCCTGCATAGGCAGCTTGCACTGAGACGCAGTTGTCTGACCTGACGTTGGAATTGGCTGGTAGCCAGCAGCCGGGTGTACGTACACCTGCCGGCATACTCACAGGTTACTGCAGCTGCGAAATCTGTGAAGGGCGAGCTCGCTACTACGAAGAGTTACGACCCCCTTTTACTCTCAACCGAGGTTAGTTGGGCTAATTCATACTGTATGCGAGAGATGCTGCACGGGGATCGGCTGTTCGGTAGATCCCGTTGTTGTTGCTTCGTGAGTGAGAGCGCCTTGGCCTACAGTGTACGTACACCGTACACGTGCAGAAGTTTCACTATACCTTTGCTTTCTGTTTTCTCAAATGGCTCAGGAGACCACCGGTATTCCTCAATTTCTTCACAAAACAACAGCAACGAGGTTGCGAGAAGAAGTACACGGGGGAGCGTGACATCCCCGAGACGTGTGTAACGATGCCCACTCTCGCAGAGGCCACAGAAAACGAGAAAACTTCGTTGGTTGAGTTGAATACCTACATTCACTCCTGGCAGGTTTATCCCCTCACTGCCTGCATTGCCACCGCCGTCCCAGAACACCGCGAGACAATATATTCTGAGTCTACTGCAGCTCGCGCCGGCTGTCGATACACCTGCCTGACCCCACCAGCGCCGAGGAGCAAAGAATAGATGGCTATGCCCGCACTAAATATCAGATAGAATTGCTATTGAAAGTGAAGACGATATGAACAGCGTGATATTGTATAGAGGAGAAAGCTGAATTTGTTTATAATATTCAGTTTCCTCTTTAACTGTACAGGAGATGTTGTTACTGGTGAAACTGTAATAGAACAAAGTAGAGAGGTCACTCCAAGCCTCTCCTCATACCCGCAGTGTATATACTGAGCCTAACAAAACAAAACCCCTACAGTCTGAACTCTGCACGTTGCGTCGCTGCTGAGTTGCTCTGGCGTGCATAAAGGGAAGAGAAACACGCGTCAATACATAAGAAACACAAAGTGCAAGGAGAGTGAAGAGTTTAGTATGATATAAATTAAGAAATAAATATATTAAAGTTGAACACATATGCATATATATATATTTATTATATGATGATGTTTCTCTTTGGGGCTTTGGTGAGGGCTGCTGCGCTTGTCTAGGGTGACGAGGTGGGGTCGGCTGCTGGTTGTTTAGGATGAAAAGATATTCAAAGAATTTATTTTTTTGTGTTCTTCTGTTTATTATTTTATTTATTTTTAACGAAAAAGATGACGCTCGCTATATTCGGAGAGAGACAAAGCGGCCAAGACGTCAGGTCCGCCAATGGTAAGCATATATTGAGCAGTCGGTGCGGTAGGTGGTGGTTGTTTTTTTTTTCTTTTTTTTTGTTTTTTTCTCTTTTTTATTATATTCACTGCTGCTTTTTATTTATAAACAACTTCCTCAGACACACGTATTGCAACAACAGATGCCCCGCTACAGCACCGCCGTCACCGCGAGGTGCATGCATGCGGGGAGGGCCCCGGGCTCAACAGCAGCTGAATTTTCTTGAAATATCTTTTTCTGACGCTTCACATTGTGCATATAACTCTGAAGATTCCTCGGAGCTCGCGGGGTGTCTATACACCTCACCGTGCGCGCTGCCGCATGCGGTGTATACAGCAGCATTCAATATACACTTTTTTTATAGTTAGAGCCCGCGATCTGCGGCAAATATATTGTGAAAAAATTGTGAAAAAAAACAGAAATACGAGAGGGATGTAGAGGGGGTGTATCTGCAGCTTTAGATATGAATTTAGAGCCGCTTTCCCTCATTTTTTTATCGGTGGTTTCGGGTGTATGTGCACCTTTTTGTTGTTGCAGTGACGGCCGTGATGGCTGTGGCGAACGTTCTTAGATCTTCTCTTGGACCCCATGGCTTAGATAAAATGCTTGTTGATGACATCGGTAATTTATTTCAATATATATATATATATATATATATATATATATATATATATATATATATATATATATATATATATAT